TGACACACCCTTGGTGTGGCTTTGTTGGCCTTGAGAACTTTCTTAAAAAGTTCAATCTGAGATTCCTTGTGAAAAATGTCTTATCTGGGTAGTAGTTATGAAGGTGAACTGTAGTTATGAACTCATTGAACTGTACATTTTAAAAAATAAACTTATAAAGAAGTCTTAGATTTACAGAAAAGTTGCAAAGACAATTCCTATAAACCCCACACCTAGTTTCCCCTATTGTCAAAATCTTAACATTGGTATATTTATCACAATTACTAAACAATATTGATACATTACTATTAACAAGTCCATACTTTATTCAGATTTTTTACAAATATTGAGTATAGTTCCCTGTGCTATACAGTAGGTCCTTGGTTATCTATTTTATATACAGTCGTGTTTATCTGCTAATCCAAAACTCCTAATTTATCCCCATCCCCACTCCTTTCCCCTTTGGTAACCGTAAGTTTGTGTTCTATGTCTGTGAGTCTATTTCTGTTTTGTAAATAAGTTCATTTGTATCGTATTTTAGATTCCACATATAAGTGATATCATATGGTACTTGTCTTCCTCTGTCTGACTTACTTGTTTTCCTCCGTCTTCACTTAGTATGATAATCACTAAGTCCATCCATGTTGCTGAAAATGACATTATTTCTTTCTTTTATGGCTGAGTAATATTCCATCGTATATATACACACCACATCTTTATCCATTCATCTGTCGATGGAAATTAAGTTGCTTCCAACCCTTGGCTATTGTAGAGTGCTGCAATGAATACTGGGGTGCATGTGTCTTTTCGAATTAGAGTTTTCTCCAGATATATGCCCAGGAATGGGATTGCAGGATTATTTGGTACCTCTGTTTTTAGTTTTTTAAGGAACCACCATACAGCTTTCCATAGAGGCTGTACTAACTTACATTCCCACCAGCAGTGTAGAAGGGTTCCCTTTTCTCCACACCCTCTCCAGCATTTATTTATTTATTTATTTATTTATTTATTTTTCCCTTGCGGTACGCGGGCCTCTCACTGCCCCTCTCCTGTCGCGGAGCACAGGCTCCGGACGCGCAGGCTCAGCGGCCATGGCTCACAGGCCCAGCCGCTCCGTGGCATGTGGGATCTTCCCGGACCGGGGCATGAACCCGTGTCCCCTGCATCGGCAGGCGGACTCCCAACCACTTGCGCCACCAGGGAAGCCCTCCAGCATTTATTGTTTGTACTTTTTGATGATGGCTACAGACCAGTGGGTGAGGCTTATCTAGCGGCTTGTACAGGCTTCCTGGTGGGAGGGGCCGGTGCCTGCCCACTGGTGGCTACAGCTGGGTGTTGTTCCTCTGGTGAGCTAGGACCTGTCTGGCGGGGAGGTGTCTGCAGGAGGCTGTGTGCTCTTTAGTCTTTAGGCAGCCTGGGGCTGTGACTCCAACCCAGTTAGTTTGGCCTGAGGCTCCCAGCACTGGAGCCCGCAGGCCGTTGTGCAGGGTCAGGTCTTGTTGCTAGTGAGTCAATATGGCAGCCACCAGGTGCATCCCCAAGGTTGGCGGTTCCCTCATATGTCTGCCACCAGTGTCTATGTCCCCAGCATGAGCTGTAGCACCCCCCGCGCCCCGCGGGAGACTCTCCGAGACCAGCAGGTAGGTCTGGCCCAGGCTCCTATCAAATTACTGCTTTCACCCCGGGTCCCGGTGTGCCTGAGATTTTGTTTGCACCCTTTAAGCATGAAGCCTCTATTTCCCCCAGTCCCATGGGGCTCCTGCAGTTAAGCCCTGCTGGCTTTCAAAGCCACCTGCTCTGGAGGCTTGTCTTCCCAGTGCCGGATCCCTGGGCTGGAGAGTTTTACATGGGGCTCAAAACTGCCACGTCTGCGGGAAAACCTTGCTATATTATTATTCTCCATTTTGTGTGTCGCCCACCCACGGGGTATGGGATTTGATTGTACTGTGAGTCTGCCCCTCCTACCCAGCTTGTTGTGGTTCCTTCTTTATGTCTTTAGTTTTAGATCTTTTCTGGTAGGTTCCAGTTTTTTTCATTGATGGTTTCTTCATTGATGGCCAACAAGCATGTGAAAAGATGCTCAACATTGCTGATTATCAGAGAAATGCAAATCAAAACTACAGTGAGATATTACCTCACCATTCAGAATGGCCATCATCAAAAAGTTTACGAAAAGAAAGAAAAAAAAAAAGTCGAATAATAAATGCTGGAAAGGGTGTGGAGAAAAGGGGACCCTCCTACACTGTAGGTGGGAATGTAAATTGGTGCAGCCACTGTGGAGAACAGTGTGGAGCATCCATAAAAAACTGAAAGTAGATTTACCACATGATCCAGCAGTCGCATGCCTGGGCATATATCCAGAAAAGACAAAAACTCTAATTCAAAAAGATGCATGCACCCTAATGTTCACTGCAGCACTGTTTACAACAGCCAAGACATGGAAGCAACCTAAATGTCCATCAACAGATGAATGGATAAAGAAGAAGTGGTACAACTCAGCCATAAAAAAAGAATGAAATGAAATAATCCCATTTGTAGCAACATGGATGGACATTGAGATTATCATACTAAGTGAAGTAAGTCAGACAATGACAAATATCATATGTGGAATCTAAAAAATGGCACAAATGAACAAATGTTACAAAACAGAAACAGACTTACATAGCATACAAATTTATAGTTACCAAAGGGGAAAGTTGGGGGGGATAAAGTAGAAATTCGGGATTAACAGATACATATTCCTATATATAAAATAAACAAGGACCTAATGTATAGCACAGGAAACTATATTCAATATCTTGTAATAGTCTATAATGGAAAAGAACCTGAAAAAGAATATGTGACTGAATATGTGTGTGTGTGTGTGTGTGTGTGTGTGTGTGTGTATAAACTGAATCACTTTGCTATATACCTGAAACACTGTAAATCAACTATACTTAAGTAAAATAAATAAAATGGAAAAAAAAGTTTAAAAAAAAATAATGAGAAGTGGTCAACATGTAGATTATTTTAGAATTTTTTTTCATATTGCAGAGACCAGCGATAGTTTTGTGTGGCAAAAATAAACAGAAATTATATTTTAATCTTCCATTGCGGAGCACAGGCTCCGGATGTGCAGGCTCCGTGGCATGTGGGATCTTCCCGGACCGGGGCACAAACCTGTGTCCCCTGCATCAGCAGGCAGATTCTCAACCACTGCGCCACCAGGGAAGCCCCAGAAATTATATTTTAGAAACAGACCTCTAATCAAAATAAAATTATAAAAAAATAAAGTTGGGAGGCCAGAGGGGGGAGCTCTCTGCCCTATGAAGATAGCAGAGCACAAGAGGAAGCTGACCTTTTCTTGCCTGGCTAGAGCTCAGCCAATGAGAGACTGTCACAACTCAGCCAATGATAAGTGCGGGACTCTTTGTTTACCATTGCCCTCTGAACTTCCTCTTCCTCTCTGTAAAAGAGTTCCCTCAATTTTTTGCTGAGGACTTGAACATGGTCAACTTGGTTACAGACCCTGAATTGTAATTTGCTAATCTCGAATAAACCCATTTTTGATGGAGAAATAACTGGCAGTCTATTTGTTTTATGTCAACAGCTGCTATAAATATCTGTGTGCAGGTTTTTGTGTGGATATAGTTTTCAATGATTGTTTTTCATAACGAGCATACACTATTTTTATAACCACAAACTGTAATTTAAAATGAAAATCAGTACATTCAACTGAATAAAATATTGAAAAGAACTTTAATTGATTCATCATAAAGGCATTGAGCAAAATAATGTTAATAAAATTTTTGAAATAAAATATTTAAGACAATTTTTAAACACAGCAGTGCAGAAAATAGCATTAAAATGTTTGTAAAATTACACACATTTTAACACTTCCACAGTCTTTGTGGAACCCAGGCTTTAAAATTTTTGAACTACTCAAGGCAAATAAAAGAATGTAGAGGAACAGATGCTACACAGAGTTACAACCTGGACGCTACTTCCCTAGAGTCTTACTGCCAGAGAGAAGTTATGACGTGAATATGACAGAATAAAAAAACCAAACCTGAATAACTCTTTGCTTTTCAAAGTAAGTATCCAAGAATTATACCAGAAAAATGTGTGCATATTTAGGTGTATTTACATAATGTCATCATGTTCTGTGGCCCATGAGCCTCGATATATTTATTTACTAACCTTGGTTCTGTTAGTATACATTTAAAATGTAATCATATGAATCATCTAATCCAACTGGGTATCCATTTTGTTAGACATCAATCACCAGCAGTAACTTCACAAAAGAAAAGTAACACAATTAGCATTTTCAAACACCAAAAATTAATGAAATGACAATAGTGCAATTACTAAGTTTAATTAAATCTGATGACAAGTGTGTTTTGATTAACGATTTTTACAAAGATAAAAATATTAAGCTCTAGAATTCTGTTCTATACAAAAGGATACGGAAATCTTATTCTTTATCATCTTTCCCTGGTACAAATTAGAAACTCAAAATACTTTGAATATACTCAAACTGAGTTGCTACAGCCAAGTGCCTATAAAGAGAATTTTGTGTACGAATTCAGGAATTACCTTTAAAAAAATGGGGATGGAAATTATTTGCCTGTCTTTAAATTTTCCTCTTTGCTTCTGATCAGGAATGAGAAAATTCTGGCCCCAAGGTGTGCTTTATAAATAAGTGGTCACATTTCTGTGGAAAATCGCCTTGCTTTGTCAATGTTCTTACATAGAAGGCAAGTATTTTCCAGCTATAGCTACCAAATTTCATAATTAAGGATTCAGAGTGCTAGTCAGTATACATCATCCAAAGATATTTCCTTTCTTTGCATCCCTAGATAATTTTCAACGAATTTATCCCTGGCTTTTCAATTCATAAGGAACAAAACTGAGGCAGGTTTCTGTATATATGTGTGTGTCTTAGTATTTTTATTTTGATATTTGTTAAATAGTTTGTATTTTATGATAATGGGCTGTGTGAACTCATCCATATCGTAACTGTTCTACAGTTGAAATTGGCTTTAAGTATTAAAATTGTATACAAGGAAATTAGGGGTGTTGCAGTACTTGGTTGCAAATAACTTGCCATCTGGTGTTGGGTCAGAAAATGCTATTTCATTCGTGCTGAGAAAACAGCCAAACATGAAGCAATTCCTAAAAAAGAGAAAAAAGATAATTTAACAATGGAAACAACTTAAAATTTTGATTAAACATAAGCACAATTATATCAATATTTTAAAGCAATCCAATTAAAAAATTTCAATCTCTTTACATATTCTTGATTAAAACCAACATTATTTTATTAAGTGGTAAAATGACTCAATGCCTTGTATTTTATAGGTGGAAGTCTAATGATATCATTTCACAATGATAAAACTAAGGCCCAGAAAAAGTTCTGCCAAGAGGCAAAGGGAGCCACACAAACCATCTGGTTGACTCTAGGTGATCCGTGATAGTAAGCAACTAATATGAGAAAATATTGCTAGTTAAAAGCCACAGATAGTTATAACAACAAAAAAATAATTATTTTGGGCTTCCCTGGTGGCGCAGTGGTTGAGAGTCCGCCTGCCGATGCAGGGGACACAGGTTCATGCCCCAGTCCAGGAGGATCCCACATGCCGTGGAGCGGCTGGGCCCATGAGCCATGGCCGCTGAGCCTGCGCGTCCGGAGCCTGTGCTCCGCAACGGGAGAGGCCACAACAGTGAGAGGCCCGCATACCGCAAAAAAAAAAAAAAAAAAAAAAAAAATTATTTTAACCAATAGCTATATTCTTTTCAACTACATCACACACTCAGAGCTTTAAGAAGGCAAAAACTAATCTGCATTTTGACTACAACTCTCCTTGATCCAGCTCAACTAGGATTTAAAGCAATAAAATGAAATAGCTGAAAGAATTCAACAAAACTGAGGGATAGTCTATGAAATAACTGGCCTGTACTCTTCAAATTCTTCAATGTCCTGAAAGACAGAAAGGCTAAGAAACTGTTCCAGGTTAAGGAAGATGAAGACTAAAGAGATATTATGACTAAATGCAATATGTAATCCTGAACAGGAAAAAAAATGCTATGAAGGGCATTTGAGACAAATGACAAAAGTGAAATATCGACTATACATTAGATAGTATAGCATTATATTGGGATATTAAATACACCAAATTTGATATCTGATCTGTCCTTATATAAGAGAATATCCTTGTTATTAAGAAATACATACCAGGTTATATACTGGTATTCTCCATACCAAATTTATGTATCTCAACATAAAATATAGAAAATAGAGGTATTTCACAATTAACTATGAAATAAAATCTTTACAGATACCAACTTCTCTCACTGCTCCCCTTTGTAAGGTATGGTGGGGGCCTAGGATTGAGGCCTAGGACTGCAGCCCTGCCGTGGTCTTGGTGTTCTTTCTTAAAAAGTGTATGGAACCCAAAGGCTAGAATAGTGCTACCCAAAGTGTGGTCCTTGGTTTTTTCAAAGTGGAGTCATTGGTTTGTAATCTGTTATCTTAAAGATAGAGGTTGAGAGAGTAAGTGTTGTGAGACTCATCTATCTAACCTAGATTAGGTAATTAACAAGCAAGAAAGAAGCAAACTCATTTGTCCCATTATCAACTAAGTACCAATATACAGTGTTAGTACAAAGTGTCATACTGTAGTTTTAAAAGAGAGAATTCATATACCAAAGACTACCATTTAGAAATACACAGTTCAGTGGTTTTAGTATATTCGAAAATTGCACAAAATTCAAGAACATTTCATCACTCAAAGAAGCCCTGTAGCCATTAGCAGTCACTCTCCATTCACCCTTCCCTCAGTCCCTGGAAACTGCTAGTCTACTTTCTATCTATGGATTTGCCTATTCTGGATGTTTTCTATAAACAGAATCATATAATAATATGGGGTATTTTTTGAGTGGCTTTTTTTAGTTAGCATAATATTTTCAAGGTTCATCCATGTTTTAGCACGTATCAGAACTTCATTCCTTTTTGTGGCTGAATATCCTATTGTAGTGTTGTATGGATATACCACATTGTGTTTATCCATTAATCATGAATTTGGTTGTTTACAATTTTTTTAGCTATTATGAATAATGCTGCTATGAACCTTCATGTATAAGTTTTTGCGTGGACAGATGCTTCCATTTCTCTTGAGTATACTTGTAGGAGCAGAATTGCTGGGTCATATGGTAACAGTTTAATTTCTTGACAAACTGCCAGACTAGATTCCACAGCAGCTGTAGCATCTTACATTCCTCCCAGCAGCATACAAGGATTACAGTTTCCTCCACATCCTCACCAACACTTGTTATTCTCCCTTTGTTTTCGTTTAGTCATCCAAGTGGCTGTGAAGTGGTATCTCATGATGGTTTTGATTTGTGATTTCCTCTATAGCTAAGGATGTTGAGCATAGCTTCACATGCTTATCAGCCATTTGTATTTCTGCTTTGGAAGAAAATAGAATACACTGAAATCCTTTGCCTATTTTTAAATTGGGTTGTCTTTTTGAGTGTTGTAAGAGTTCTTTTATATATGTTGGATATACTAGACTCTTATTAGATAAATGATTTGCAAATATTTTCTCATTCTGTGGGCTGTCTTGCTAATTTACTTTTACATTTAGTTACACTTGTGAGTTACAGTAAGTCTTTATTAATTACCTAGTCACACACGGTCAATAAACATGTACAATTTCTAAAATTCTTTTTATAAAAAATATTTTTAATGTACAATTTCTAAAATTCTTTTTTTTTTTAATATTTATTTATTTAGGCTGCATTGGGTCTTAGCTGCAGCATGTGGGCTCTTTGTTGAGGTGCGTGGGTTTTCTCTCTCTAGTTGCGGCGTTCGGGTTCTCTCTCTAGTTGTGGTGCGTGGGCTCCAGAGTGCATGGGCTCTGTAGTTTGCAGCACGCGGGCTCTCTAGTTGAGGCGCATGAGCTCAATAGTTGTGGCACACAGGCTTAGTTGCCCCGTGGCATGTGGGATCTTAGTTCCCTGACCAGGGATCAAACCCACGTCCCCTGCATTGGAAAGCAGATTCTTTACCACTGGACCACCAGGGAAGTCCCCAAAATTCTTTTTTTTAAACTTATATTTTGTTTTTATAGATTTATTTAAATGTAATTTTACATCTGTTGAATCTAATAAAAATTTGGGCTTCCATTTTTCCATTTGTTTGTTTCCTAGCAATTTATCTTTACTTTATTAATGTGTTGGTCTGTAACAAAATCCAGTCTTTGACCACAGGTAGTTTGAAAAGCACTGGGCTAGAATGTTTCATTCGGGAATGTTGTGCCCGAAATTGAGTATATCTAGTTCTTCTTTTTTTTTTTTCACTGCCAGCATTGTCTTAGCCTGACTTTGGTAGTATTTATATACAAGTGTCTTACCAACATCATTCCCTTTGGCTCATGAGCTGGGAAAGGTTCTGGGAAAGCTAATCTGGGTCTAATCCATTTTATTTTATTTCTTACCTTAGAGTATCTACCAGTCGTCTTGCAATGCGCTTTCTTCTCTTCAGTCTGAAGACCCAGATTCTACTTATCCCACAGATTGCAGGTTCTGGTACATCTGAACATTGCCAAGCCCTATGACATTCTTTAGAGCTTGGGGATTCTGGACCAGTTGGTTCAGACAGGACACGGAAGGCCTGCAATCATACACAGAAGCATCTAGAGCTAACAATACAGCTGAGTTCACATTTCTTTTTTTTTTTTTTTCTTGCGTTATGCGGGCCTCTCACTGTTGTGGCCTCTCCCATTTGCGGAGCACAGGCTCCGGACGCGCAGGCTCAGCGGCCATGGCTCACGGGCCCAGCCGCTCCGCGGCATGTGGGATCCTCCCGAAACGGGGCACGAACCCGCGTCTCCTGCATCGGCAGGCGGACTCTCAAGCACTGCGCCACCAGGGAAGCCCCACATTTCTTTTTAAAAACCATTCTTTAAACAAAATTTAAGTACCTAAAATTAATCTTACCCTACCTTCACAAAAATGTCAAAATTCTTCGCTATTTCTTGAATTCTTGCCCATTTATAGTCACACAAAGCTTAAAAATTACTAGTGGTGTTGAGATATGCCCACATCCTAGTATATTATACCATTGTGAAACTTTCTTGTGTTGACTTAAAAAAATTATAAAAGACTCTTATTTCTAATAAAGTACATAAGCTTCTCCCATTCTCTCCATCCTAAAATGTACATTTGATATTCTAAAAAACTAATAACGCTAAAGAAGGTTTTTGCATATAAACTATGAAATTTAGTATTTAAATTTTTCTTTAAACGTATTTTAAATACAGATTCAGAGGAAGTTGACAAATAGTACAAAGAGGACATGTATCCTTCACCCAATTTCCCCCAAGTTACATCTTCCACAACTACAGTACCACATCAAAAGCAAGAAATTAACATGGGTACAATGTGTGTGTATAGTTCCATGACAATTCATCATATCTGAATACTGATTTAACCATCACCACAATCAAAATAGAGCTACTGCATCATCACGAAGCTCTTCCTCTTGCTACCTCTTTATAACCACACCCATTTCCCTGCCCCCCACCATCCCTAAACCCTGGCAACCACAATCTGTTCTCTATCTCTAAAATTCTGACACTGAGGATATCATACAAATGGACTCATACAGAATGTGACCCTTTGAGAATGGCTTTTTAAAAAATTTTATTTTATTTTTATACAGCAGGTTCTTATTAGTTATCTATTTTATACATATTAGTGTATATATGTCAATCCCAATCTCCCAATTCATCCCACCCGCCACTTTCCCTGCTTGGTGTCCATACGTTTGTTCTCTACGTCTGTGTCTCTATTTCTGGAGAACGGCTCTTTTTCACTCAGCACAATGCCCTTGATACCTGTCCAAGTTGTTGCATATATCAAGTCTGTTTTTATTGCTCAGTAATATTCCATTGTATGGGTGTACCAGTTTGTTTAATCACTCACCTACTGAAGGACACTTTGGTTGTTTCCAGGTTTTGGCTATTACAAATAAAGCTGCTATAAACATTCAGGTGTGGGTTTTTGTGTAGACATAAGTTTTCATTTCCGGGATAAATGCCCAGGAGTATGATTGCTGGGTCATATGGTAAATGTATGATTAGTTTTTTAAGAAACTGCCAAACGTTTTCCAGAGGGGCTGTAACATTTTACACTCCCTCCAACAACGTATGAGAAATCTAGTTTCCCTGCATCCACACCAGCATTTGCTATTGTCACTATTTTCTACTGTAGCTGTTTTGATAGGTGTATATTAAGTTTTAACTCCCACTGAGAAAACTTTGCTTCTGAAATGAGAATGAATAGAAGAGTATATGTATGAGTTAGCTGGCTATACAGATCTTCCTCAACTTATGATGGGATTACGTCCCTGTAAATGTAGATTGTAGGCTTCCCTGCTAGTGCAGTGGTTAAGAATCCGCCTGCCAATGCAGGGGACACGAGTTCAAGCCCTTGTCTGGGAAGATCCCACATGCTGCAGGGCAACTAAGCCTGTGTGCCACAACTACTGAGCCTGTGCTCTAGAGCCCACGAGCCACAACTACTGAAGACTGTGTGTCTAGAGCCCTTGCTCTGCAACAAGACAAGCCAACACAATGAGAGCCTGTGCACTGCAATGAAGAGTAGTCCCTGCTCGCCACAACCAGAGAAAAGCCCACACACAGCAACGAAGACCCAACACAGCAAAAACTAAATAAATGAATTTATTTAAAAAAGAAAAAGATCAGGGGCTTCCCTGGTGGCGCAGTGGTTGAGAGTCCGCCTGCCAATGCAGGGGACACGGGTTC